GTGTGCTGCGTGCTGTGTTGTGCTCCTGGGTTCATCTCATACCAATAGACACGCTGCTCTGCCGATTCTCTTTTATGGGTAACTCAGAGTGTAAAGATTAAGTGGGAGCCCGCGCTCAGAGCCCAGGAGGCGGCCAATGGGCCTTCGGGGAAACCCTTAGAGGGGAACTTACAATGGTGTTGATCGGGGGATATTTCTGATTCTTCTTTCCTTTGTGGCAGCAAATGAAGCGACAGGAGCCTCTGGGAAGGGAGGAATCGGGAGAGAGAAGAGTTGGCATGGAGGCCTCTGAGCCAGACCAAGAAGGAGAGTTTCTTGCACCCAAAGGAACCCCAGGATGGTGGGTTACAGGTTGCATCATCGCTGCCCCTTTCCATGATGCCAATGGGGGGGGGGACACTCTTAACCCCAAAGCCCCCCCCTCCGGAGGTTCTGCTACAGTGACCCAAGTGGGCTTCCCCAAGACCCCCTCCCCAGGGCTCCCTGCGTTACGCCTGGTTGTGCTAGAATCAAGCGGGTAAGCTGAGCCCTGTGGTTTGCGGCTCATGGCCTCTCTCCCCCCCCCCCCCGGGGAGACGTGGGGCTGGGAACCGCTTCAGAGGAGCGGGCCGACCTCTTCCGCGCGCCCCTCCCATACCGGATGGCATAGAAGATGGACTTGGGCGTCGGGATGATGTTGAAGGGAACCGGCAACGTTAATCCTTCCCTGAAGAAGGACAGGTAGAGCTTCGAGCGGGCAAATTTCCACTCTACGTCGGCGTCATTCTGTAGGAAAGGAGGGAGGTGGGATGCCCGTAAATAAATGAGACACGGGGGAGGAGAACCTCTCAGTTTGTAACAGAATAACAGAAGGGGCCTTGGAGGTCTTCTAGTCCAACCCCTTGCTCAAGCAGGAGACCCTAGACCATTAACGGAGAACCTATGGCATGGCGTGCCAGAGGTGGCACACAGAGCTCTCTCGGTGGGCACGCCTGCCATCGCCAGAGGCACTTCTGTTTTCCGGCATGCCGGAGCACCGGAAAACAGCCTGAAAACCGCCCTAAAATACCAGGTCTTTTCAGGCCGTTTTGGGGGGCTGTTTTCCAGGCCATTTTTTGGGCATTTTCATGCATTTTTTTCAGGCTGTTTTCGGCTGTTTTGGGGCCAAAAATGGCCTGAAAACAGCCTGAAAATGGTCCAAAAAACAGCCAAAATGGGCCAAAATCTGGCATTTGCATGCTGGTCTTCGGGTTTCCGGTTTGGGCACTTGGTGCTGAAAAGGTTCACCATCACTGGGCCATTCAGAACAAGGGAATCACAGAGCTGGCAGGGACCCTGGAGGTCTTCTATTCCACCCCCTGTTCAAGCAGGAAACCTTCTATAGCATAGTGTTTCTCAACCTTGGGGACTTTAAGTCCTGTGGACTTCAACTCCCAGAATTCCCCAGCCAGCTGCGCTGGCTGGGGGATTCTGGAAGTTGAAGTCCACAGGACTTAAAGTCCCCAAGGTTGAGAAACACTGTTATAGCATATCATTGAACAAATAGTTGTTCAACCTCTTCTTAGAACCTCCCGTGTTGGAGCCCCCACAGCTTCCGGAGGGAAGCCTCTCCGCCCTTTTAAATTTACTTTCCAGCCTCCAGCCGGAGCGAACTCTCCGTGTTTAATGTTAGAGCTGAATTCTCAGCCAACATGGCCGTTGCTCAGCCTTCAGAGAGGCGTTTAGGTCCAGATGTCCATCTCCCTGGGCTCCCCTGGATAAAGTCCAGCCTCCCACCCACCCCCCCGAGGAAGACTCGCCTCGATCTTCTGGAAAGAGTTGGTGATCATGGCAATGAGCATGTTGAGAAGGACGACCACCATGACGATGGTGAAGATCCCATAGAGCACCTGGCCCACCATCTCAGCCACGAAGAATTCAGGCATGTCCACCACGTTGTGTTCCTCCATCCCCATCATCGTCCAGAAGAGGAACTGGAAGGTCTTGTTGAAGCTGCACGAGAGAAGCGTCATCTTGGAGGTCCATGGTTCCATCTCCCCGCAAACCCAGGTGAGTAACCGGCAGGGCTGCCCCCAGGACCGAGCCGAGGAGACTTTCCCCCCCGAAGACCTTTATTCTCCTAACACAGCCAAGGACGGATCTAGGAAAGGGCCTTCTGAGCACGGGCAGAGAAGATCTCCAGCATGCCAAGTGGCTGGCTGAAGGGCCCCGGGTGGGCCAGGAGACCAAGGTTCAAATCCCACCGAATGAGCTTTGGGGGGGGGTCCTAGGCCGGCCCCTTCCTCTTCGGGCTTCTCTGAACAATTCCTAGGAGGGGAACCAGAGAGGGGAAAGAACACCAGACCCCCTTCCTGGTGGGCTTGCGGAAGAAGGAAGGCAGGTCAAAATGTCACCCCCCAAAACCCGTCCTATAGTCTTGGGTGGGTTTCAGAGGGTCTGATTTTACTGGAGGAGGAATTTGGGTTGGAAGCTTCAAAGGGTTTCTGAATTTCATGGAGATGGTAGAGGTAAAAATAGAGGTAGATAAAGGTGGAAGCAATTAGAGGTAAAGGTACAGGTGAATGGATGAAAAGATGATAAGATGATAGATAGATAGATAGATAGATAGATAGATAGATAGATAGATAGATAGATAGATAGATAGATAGATAGAT